GTATGGACCATTACATGTTAATCCAGTAACTGTTAGATCTGTTTATCTTAAACCTCAAAATTAATATATCATTCATATTCAATTATACCTCAAAATTCTTATATTATTGTACATTTTACCAAATCCTTCCATATATAACAGATAATGTAAAACCTGGACAGGTGTAGCCTATAAGGTTTAACACTGAGATTGGCATTCCCAGCATTGCTCTAATCAGAACACACAAAAGGTTAGCTATTTCCTATACTCTGGAATAAATTACACCAAAGGACAAAAAAGAGGAAATATTCTTTATCTTTGCATGTCTAATTAAATAATTTTGTTTTACAGGTATCAGCAGAACCTGATGGGTATACATATGTTTTTCAAGGCTCCATCCATGGGAAGGATTATGGACAGTTTGGACTTCGAAGTATAGGTACCTTATTATTATTTCGTCGTTTATGATTTTGTAGTTCCTATAGGCAACCAAAACGAATTAATCTACAAAATGAAACACTCAGCGCCAACCAATTCATTGAAGAGTTTGGTTCATGAAATGTCATGGAAGCAAAAGGCTGAGCACTTAACTGCTTACTAGGCTTGTGCAAAGAAACAAATTGGTTTGTCCAAGTGAATTCATATGAAAAGAAAAAGTTTGTGTTTCGGCTATGTGGTATTTTGCTTCAGAATACTTTTGTCTTTGCTATTTTTTCAGGAAATACCAAAATGGTGTGAAAAATTGTCAATCAGTGTACTGAAAAATATAAATACTATGTATATAATTTGCAGTACACATGCAGGTTATTGCACCATTTGATTCACATATTAAGTAAGTAGATGTAACCATTAGAGAGAAAAAAAGGAGGAGCATTAAAACAAAATCTATATTTATATTTTATAACTGTATTAAATATATAAATATACATTTTATACTAAAATACATATCTATTATTTATTTAATATACAATACACCATGGGTGGAATTCCAAATCACAAAATAAACTAAACAATTTCATCCATTGTCCATTTCATTGTTTATTTTATGTTTTTTTATTTTATTTTTGCAAATTGTCCATATAGTGTTTCAGACTTTGGAATTTCAGATTGAAGGCCGATCACCTCAAATTTGGAGGAGTATCAATTCATTTGAAACCAAATACACAAGTCTACTGTTTACCAAAAGATCCAGAACAAGGACAGAGATATTTAATTATTCTGATGGAATACCTTAAACAAAATCAAATCATTCAATGTTGTTTCTACAGAATGCTCCCTTCTGTGGTGATTTGTATTAAAAAGAAAAATTATACAGTGTAACACTAGCAATATAGGCAAACTGTCTTTGAGACTGAGTTCACATAATAAATGATTCATGGTTGGCTCTGCTTACCAATTTGTGTCAGTGTTATAGAAAGCGATCTTGCCTACAGTAAAGAAAAACACCTGTTTATTTTTATAGATTTACTATAAACAGAAGCTTCATATTTACAATCTAATTATTCACTAGCACAGTAAAAATATCATGTTCCCTTGTGAAATTCTGGGCAAATAAACTAGTGAAATTGTCATTTCATTAAAAAGAGAAATTATTAAACTATAAATTGTTTTCATCTATTTCTCTATTGGGATATGCAGTGTATACCATCCCAGAAAGACTCAAATATTTTACACATTACTGCTAGATTTTGTTAAGGGCATAAGACAGAATCAAATGTGTATATAAATGTGTATACATTGTACTTGTTAAGATGCATATGCATTTGCAGACATGCTATTCAATAAACAGAGTCATGTGACCTGGCACTCAGCTTAAAAAATGCTGTATCAGCTATTTTGAGCATGTTCTATTCGTTTGTAATTTGGGCCTAAATCTTTTATTTTACTTCTCCAGTTACTTTTACTCACTGCTACTAAAATCCCATGGACCTCATTATAGAATATTTTGAAAAATAAGCACCAACATTAGGTCAATGTATTTTTCTTGAGAAAATTATTTAAATAGATACATTAAAGACAATGGTATATCAAAAAAATGTGTCGGCAAATCTGGCTATTTGTTTTTTTCAAATGTACAAAACATCTATAATAGATATTCTGTGTGAAGTATAAAGCACATTTGTAAAACTTACTTATATAAAATGCGATTTCTGTTTAAAAAACTTTTATATATATATATATATGCATTTTATCCAGAAAGTATATTTCCTGATTGTGTTTTATTTCCTTTACCAGGAATGAATGTGTCAGACGAGAACTCTACAAATCAAACGCTTGGAACAAATAGTAGCTCTGTTGCGATTGCTATCCTGGTGCCTTTTTTTGCTCTAATATTTGCAGGTTTTGGATTTTATCTTTACAAACAAAGGTAAGGTACCATACACAGCTGTATAATAATATGAAATATGTTGTGGAAAGGCAACACAGAGTAGATATGATAGGAGCAGTCAATTTAAAAAAAAAAGAGATTCACCAAAGTTTGAGAAGAAAGTTTAGACAAAAAAGTACACGGACATGATGATAATCTAAAAAACAAACAAACAATAACAATCTTAAATATAGCATTAGAAGATATGCCTTTACCAGAAGAGTAAGTGATACAGAAAGCAGAATTATAATAAAACTACAATAAGGGTTTTACAGTAGAGGTTACATTGCCTACTGTGTCATTTTTTATATTTAAAGTTTATATTGTTGAATTGCAGTGTTATTTAATTTTTCATGAATTTAACTGTGTAATATCTATCAGGTGTTTAGCATTTATTAAAGTTATCAGTTGCCATAAACAAGAATATTCAGTATGGAGTTTATTAATTACATTCAATTTAAAAAATGTGTAAATCGGATTCTTGGCCTCCTCTGTATTCCATTATCTGTTAGCCTAATGCAGATTAGTCAAGCTCCCACCCCATCATTGTAGATGTTGATGAACTACAACTTCCATTTTTTAAAAAAGGTTACTCTTACCAAAAAACAGTATTTTAAGAGTTTCAGTGCCAAGCCCAAGTTCTCCTTGCAGCCTAATCCTATTCTGCTGATGTCAGAGGGAGGGGTGAGGGTAGGAGAATGTCAGGCTCAGGAAAGGAATTAGGAAGAAGGAGCCGTGTCGTGCCAGTTGGTTACCTGTGACCAGCGCACTATGCCTGCAGATAAAAAAATGTCCTATGTGCACAGAACTGATATTAACCAGTCTGGAACTCTTATTGTGAACTGGCTAATGTTGCTCTAATGACTTTTCCGGAGGTGTAGTTACATCATCAACAACAACAGAGTTAAACACTGTTTGTGCATAGTTTTATACTAAAATGCTGTACAAACAGACTCTAAGAACCATGACCACTTAAATTCACTGAATTGTGGGTGTTGTAGTTTAACAACATCTGGGAGTTCACCGTTTGAGAAATGTAGCTTCATATTTTCTTGTTTGTTTTCATTTTATTTCACCTCAATTTAATAAATAAACCAGTATGCGGACACTATGCAATGCTACCTTAATATATCATCAGTTTGCATATAGCTGCACACATTAAAATAAACCATTCTTACGTAATGTCTAAAAGTTTGGATTTTCTTGTATTTGCTCTCTATTATGTTTGTAAATGTTGGTAAAGGGTCAATTGAAATCTAACAATTGTAATACAAACACCTACTTCAACATGCCCTTATGTGATATAGTCGGGATCTCAGTTTTTTATTCATCCACTGTTTTATTTGCTTGTCATTTTCTAGAAAAATTATTTTTTAGGGGGGCTGTCCAAGAGTAAAGCTAGACTGAAAATCAATACTAAGAGAGCTTTAAGTTAGTTGTAGTCAATTTCTTTTCAAATTATCTTATCTTATGGTATTGTCTTTCCTCCAAAGGCTGTTATTGAAATAACAAATATAGACCAGTTCCAAGCAAACATATAGAGCCAAAGATTATTTTTAACAAACTTTCCTTTAACAGTCAGTTAACTTTGTCAATATATCCTAATATATAACCCTCACTGGGCCCATTACTACATGTGAAATAGTGCTAACCTTTATAGCTTAGAACACATATTGGCACTACATAGCTAGAATAAAGTGCCAGGTTAGTTGATGCAATCTAGGCAAATGCCTAATGTGCTTGTTTTACAGCTCTATACAGATGTAGCAGTCTAGACACATCATGGTGAAATAATATTGTATTTCTGCTCTGTGACATGTTTAATAAAATTATACAGATGTAATTGTTCACCCACAAACCAATGTCTTAGGCTAATAATAGAAATGGAAATTCATTATTAGGTGCCACAGAAACACTTTTCGTGTAACTGTCGATGTTAGCAAAAATAAAAAATTCTAGGTTATTGTGTAACAGACGATTTTCTATGTTTCTAACAGGACTGCTCCGAAAACTCAATATACTGGATGTTCTGTTCATGAAAACAATAATGGCCAAGCAGCGTTTGAAAACCCAATGTATGACACTAATGCAAAGTCAGTGGAAGGAAAAGCTGTACGATTTGACCCCAACTTGAACACTGTGTGCACAATGGTATAATGCTGGATTACTCTGACTCTGAAACCAGGAAATTGAGGCAAAAATCAGTGCACTATTTAGTTCACTGTCATAATCAAAGCACATTTTTAAGAACACATGAAGTCACAAATTTCCTGAAGAAGAGACGAAGAGAGTTTTAACAAGACTTACTCTATTCTTCATGTGGAGCATGAGGAGTTTTCCAGCAACTCTTTTGCACTCTATGAGTGATTAATTACAGTTTATTTTCTTTTTTTTAAAAAGGAGATTATTCAAAACTCTAAACTTATTTGCATATATTGGAGGAGCATCCACCATCAGTATTTACTGTGCTTTATAAACTATATTAGAAGATCTGGGGAAAAAAAGATATATGATAGCAAAATACTATATTTACTGAAGACAATATGTTTAATTATAGGTATATTGTTTTATTTTCTTCTTTGACATCATGATAAAAAATGAGCCCCTGTTAATTTGAATTTTATATTTTGTCTACAACTTAAATGAAAATCATATGAGAACAGGTGAATTTTTTTTTTTTGTTGATATCAGCTTATTCACCACAGATGAATTATGTGAGATATATTGTTTGCTAGCAAGTTGTCCATTCAGTAATCATGAGAAGGTATTCCAGGATGGAATCTGCAGCTTATGGACAACAATAAAAAGCACTCTGTAATGATGACCATTGTCAAAATACGTTTGAAGAATTCTGAAGGCCAGTGTTTCTCAAACTAGTCCTCAAGGCCAAACAATCCAGGTTTGTTGATATCCCCATTGAAATAGAACTGGGTAACACTTAAATCTCGGGCAATTGGATGTCCTCGAGGATTGACATGAGAACTAATTCAATGGCCAACATGAGCTAGAAGTCTGTAGCTTCCCTTTCCATTTGTTAGAAGGAATGTCTCACCAAAGCATTGTTTCCAGTTCCATCCGAGATTTGTTTTTGTGATTCACCATTAGTGAGCTGAATTCACTAAATGCTGTTAACTACTGTAACTCATGCTATGCATGTTATGGTTAACACTATATTCACGTCGGACATGATTTGATTTGGTCTGCTAATTAATAAACCCATTGTTTTAGTACTACTGAATATCTTTATACACTTCTAGCTCTATAATTAATAAAAGTGTGTTAACTCTTTGAGCACCAGGGGGAGAGCAGTTCCTTTACATTTTACTTCCAAGTGCTTAATTAATCAAAACATTTTAGGTGTTTTTTTATTATCAATTTTAGTTGTTGGGTGCCAGTGAGTGCTGCTGACATTACACATTGGTGAAATATGGCACATTAATGGTAATTCAGAAGAGGACTCAAGTACTCTATTGAGTTGGCATCTGTGATTAGCATACATGGAAATATTGGTGGTGGGGTGTACTCAAAATCTCTCTGCCAAATCCATTAGTTAAAGGAAGGGGTTGTTTACAACATCCTGTGTTTGCTGTAAATGGCTGATTATAAGTCAAAATGGGACAAGGGTGCCCAACAATAGGGAGAAAATGGCAGGGTGTTGGCAAAGTAAAGATGCATTCCACACATGCGCGGAAACAAAGTGTCAAAAACAGAGCCACATGTGAATATCATCAATTTCCCATGTATGGTAACCAGCTGAAGTAACCACTAATATATATATAAATATATACATATATATATATATATATATATATATTTGTCATTTTTTAAACCAAAGAGGTTATTGATGCTTGGAAGTGAATAGCGATGATCAGTACTGATTTATTTGGGTGCATGTTTTTTTTTTCATTTTTCAACTCAAACATTAAGTGAAGCTTTATGGTATACACATTAGCATGATCACATCTATGGTATTAATTTGCATTACAGTTAATAATATTAACCTCATAAATTGAATTTCTCACATAAATGGTTACATTTACATGGTAGCCACCAAACAGATTTTCCCCAATGCATATCTCATTCATATCACCTACTTTCCAGCCTTATTCCTCTGTGTGCTAAAAGGGTCCAGGTAAAATGTATTTTGATGCTCTTTTGGCATTTGCAAGGTTAATATGAATTTCAAACAATAGAGAAACTATGGACTGCTGTAAATAAATGCTTATCTATACAATATAAAGTGTAAGCAAATATATACCATGTTTATAAAGGGTGCATGCCATTGAGACAAGGTCCTCTTTATTATAGATGAAATTGTCTTCACTGGATATTTTAATCCATGTTGTTTCAATAAACCGTGATGACCATTTCATAACATATTGAAAAGGACCTTTATATCTGAAAACAAAAATAAAGGTGTTTTTTATCTTGAGTGGATTTTACTACAAAAGATTCAATAGAAAAAAATAAAATAAAACAAACAAAAATTACCAAAGAACAAATGTGGTCAGTTAGTCTCCTAGGCCAGTTAGTCTCCGAACTTCTTAAATACTTATTATTAGGATTTTTCTAAACATTTTACAAGCATTCTCTTTTTTTTTTTCTCCAGAAAAACATGCCCAATTTTGAAGTCATAAAAGCTTTTTATATGCTTTTTTAGAAAATGAAATCCATGTGCTTAAATAATACAATGTATGCCACCATTGTAATTCTCTGTAAATTACTTAATGATCTTTAATTTGATAAATTAGCATTTTATGAGTTTAATAGCCTGCATAGCACACAAAATGATCAATCTACTTTAAAACCCTTAAAATGTCAAGAAGCTAAATCTGTCAAAATTAGCTAAATGTGATACCAAATTACAAGACTAATATTGAAATCCCCTTGAACCACAATAATTAAGATCTTTTAACCACTGAATATATAACATGTGTATTACTGTACAAGCTGTTATTCTGAGCTTTACATTTGAATTACTATGTAGGTGAACAAATGTTTACCTGTTAGCAGGGTAAGAGGTGAATATATTTTGGAGCCTTCTAGATATTTATTTATTTTATGGTACACCAAAATATGTCTGAGACTATCATGTTCACAGCATGTCTCTCTTTTTGTTTTTTGGTTATTTCTGCTTTCTTGAAAGAAAAGAGTTGGATTCGCTACTCAGGGAATGAAATATGTCCATGAATATTATTTGCAACAGAAAATTAAATCAGTACCTCTTTTGTTGTTTCTGGACCACTTTGGGTGCTGGTCAGAGCCCTACTAAGATAATTATATAAATATAATTTTCTATATTTATATATATATATATGTAAAAAATTCTAATTATATATATATATATATATATATATATATATATATACATATATATATATGTGTGTGTGTGTGTGTGTGTATCTATATAAATTAAATGAAAGATATATATTAAATTAAATCTGACATGTGCCAAGCATTTCCTGTTGAAAAATATTTATTTTCGCTATATAAAGTGCACACACTTATTTATAGTAAATATTTTTCACTTTTCATCACTTTTCAAATAGAAAAGGCAAACAGGTTTCTGTTATATATAGCTAATTATAAAATATAGTTACCTTAAACATTTCTAAAAAAGAAGAGAAAAGAAACACTTGCGTGCATGTGTGATGAATTGTTTTTTTTTATTTGTTCTGTTTATAGACACTTGACATGGATATCTATTTTTACACAGTAACAAAGTATTATTAATTTATGATGAAACTATTTATAGAACTAACTTTCTAAACAAAGCTTTGAGAAATGTAGTATAATATTACAAAATCAATTTTTTTTTAGCCTAGATGTGGTCAGAAGTTCATCTCTCAATGTTATTATGTAGATGTTTACCCATTTAATAACAATATTTTTCAGGATTTAAGGAGGATGGACACATTTTTGAATCAGCAGAATATTATAAGAAAATATATTCTTTGTTGTGAACATTTACCGTATATACTCGAGTATAAGTCGAGTTTTTCGGCACATTTTTTGTGCTGAAAAACCCCCACTCGACTTATACTCGAGTTAATATCTGTATTATGGCAATTTACATTGCCATAATACAGACCAGGACCGCCGGGCTCATTACAAGCCCGGTGGTCCTGTTGGGGGCTGACAGGGAGCGGTTACTTACCTTCCTACAGCTCCTGTCAGCTCCCTTCTCCTCCGTGCAGCTCCTCTGTCAGCTCCCACTGTAAGTCTCACGAGGGTCGCGGGGTCACCGCGGCTCTCGCGAGACTTACAGTGGGAGCTGACAGAGGAGCTGCACGGAGGAGAAGGGAGCTGACAGGAGCTGCAGTAAGGTAAGTAACCGCTCACTGTCAGCCCCCCCTCCTACACAGCCCATACACTGGACCACCAGGGAGTGAGAGCCCCCCTCCCTGGCAAGCTAACAAGCAGGGAGGGGGGACGAAAATTAAATTAAATAATAAAAAAATACAATAAAAATATTAAAATAAAATAAACTTAAAATATTAAAATAAAATAATAAAACAAAAAACTTATAATATTAAAATAAAAAAATTATAATAAAAATGTCCTCCTCCCACCCAGTTCACACACAGACACACACACACACACACACACAAACACTCTCATACAAACACACACTCTGCATTATATACACACACACACACACACACTCATACAAACACACACACACACTCATACAATCTGCATTCTACACACACTCATACAAACACACACACACTCTGCATTATATGCAGACAGAGTGTGTGCGTGTTTGTATGAGTGTGTGTGTAGAATGCAGATTGTTTGTATGAGTGTGTGTGTGTATAATGCAGAGTGTGTGTTTGTATGAGTGTGTGTGTGTGTATATAATTCTAAAAATCACAGAATTTCATAGCTCCAAGTTTAACCCTCGACTTATCCACGAGGCATAGCATATTTCACAATTGTTGGTCACAAAACTGCCCCCGACTTATACATGAGATCGACTTATACACGAGTATATACGGTAAATTTGAGCTGTCAGCTTATTTTTTGTGTAAATTTTCTGGCAAGATTTATTTTAAATTTAACAACCTGTGTAGCTGTAATTACCCACAGGGGGGATTTTTGGTAGTTGCACAACATAGACATGACTGTTCTGGGCTGAAACTGTATCACAGTTTCAAACCTTAGTGACAGTTTCTATTAAAAAAAATTGTGACCACTTGAGGCCAGCAACTACAACATGGTTTTGCTTGTTGAGCTGTTTGGTTCCTATTGCTTCATTGTAAAGGGAATAATACATTTAAATTTGTCTGATACTAAGTTTGTGATACTAAATACCATCTGTGCCATAAGGAAGTCTAGTTTACTTATATATCTTCTATTTAAAGGGATACTATAGTCACCAGAACAACTACAGTATTTGTTCTGGTGAGTATAACGAGGCCCTGCAGGCATTTTGCAGCAAACACTGTTTTTTGCAGAGAAAAGGCAGTGTTTACATTACAGCCTAGGGATACCTCCACTGACCACTCCTAATATGGCTACTAGAGGTGCTTCCTGGGGCAGTGCTTCACACTTTGCAGCACTGCCATTCAGTGTATCCACCCTCTGCATGGAGATACTGAACATTCCTCATAGAGATGCATTGATTCAATGCTGATTGGCCTTGATTGCATTTGGCTTGTGCTGTCTCTGCACCTGATCTGTCTCCTTGACAATCTCAGACAATCTCAGCCAAGCATTGTGATTTTGTAATTGTGGCTGAAAAAACCATGTCTTATGATGTCAGTCAAATAGGTAGATCAGGGGCAGAGCCAGCAGCAACAGAAGACTGGCATAAAAGTAAGATATTACTATATTTAGTGGAGTGTCAAGGGCAAGGGGAAGGGGAAGGGGGGCTAGATGGTGTTTTTAACACTATAGGGGCAGGGATACATCTTTGTGTTACTGACTCTATAGTGCTCCTTTAATTTTCAGTTAAACCAACATTGCTGAACAAATTTATAAATAATGAGAATATTATTTGGATTTCTTTTCAAGTGCTATATGACAGCATAATCAAAGTAACTGATAATAAAGGCACTAAAGAAAGAAGATAATAAAGAATCATCACTACTAGTGACTGGGTATATTGGTTTTGATTTTGATTGAGATTTTGAAAGAACTATATATATATATATATATATATAGAAATATAGAACAATATATAAAAAATATTGATAAATAATGGTATAAAACTAAAATGCTTGAGTGAATCCCATATGTGATAAACCTGATGAAGTTTCTGGTGTTGTTTTTATGTTACTTTTCATGTAACTTCCAAATGTTATGAATCTTTTTTTATGTAAAAAGAATTGGAAAGTAAACATGTGCTTCTATATTAAGTTCAATACTTACATTTAAATCACAAATTACAATCTAGGTAATGCACAATATTTGTCAAATAATAGACTACTGGCCGCAAAGTAACTTTAACACATGAGAAATATATTTACCGTAAGCATATTTTAGTGATGACAAATAAATATTTTTCCAGTATAAATGATTCATTGACAATTTCATAGCTAGATTACATTATAGAGTTATAATATTGCTTGCCTTTCCTGCCATTTTTTAATGAGATAATAAATGCATCTACACTTAAGTGGGTTAGATAGAAAAAGCAACACAAGAGATGTTGCCACACGCTAACTAAATTGAAAGTAAAAAGTAAATAAAACAAATATTGACTTTCAAAAACTGGAGCTATTAGCAGACAGACTATCCTCACAAACTCACAAACAGCAAATATGCCCTAGCAGTTTTCATGACCCTGTCTGATTGTTTAAATTGTGTTTTGTTGTTTTAAAGCGTGTCATAGAATTATCAATTGATTATTAATAACATAACAGCTGGTAATTCCATTATCATTTATTTTTATCGGATTAGTTTCTCCAGTATGGCTCCAAGGGCTCTAGTTAATAATGAGTTAATTTAAGATAGTTTACAACCGACTGAAACTTTAAAAAAAATAATAATATTTAAGATGCAAAAAAAATCTTTGACTTGTGGATTGTTACTAAATATAAAACTTTAGCCTACAGTTTACACATTTGTAGACGCTCTATTTTTGGCAACTAGACCCCATAGTTTGATACAATTGTAAAAAAGATGTTTGTAACTAATGTTTTACAAAAAGGGTTTAAATTACTATTTTATTAGCAGTGACCCAAATCACATCAGTCAGTATTTACATTATTTTAAATATAACCAAGGTGGCTATTAAGCAACCATCTGCCTGTATTGATATAAACATTTACAGTAGGAAATTAAAAAAAAATATTACATATATGTTCACCATTAATATCAACATGATAAGTGTAAGATAGGAAAGAGCAATTCATGATATTGCAATGCACTGTTTCCCCCTCTGTTTGCTGAATGGGTTAACAGGACAGTTTTTTTTTTTTTTTGACAAATACTTAACTTGACCAGTTTAAAAGTTGTATATGTTGAGTATGCAAATTAATCATACATTGTAATAGCTATTTTTTATGTCACCATGATACCCAGTATAGAACAATTAGGTTTTTCATCACCTTTGAGTTCCCATAGACAAATCCCTAATTTACTGAATGGTTTATTTGCATGTTGATTAGACATGTGCAATAATTTTCAGATGGTTAAAAAAATTCAAAATAAAGTTAATCTGAAAATGAATATTGGTCAATAAATTAGTGAATAAAACAAATCAAACACAGAATAAATTTAATTTGGCTCCATTCATTTGTTCGGTGATGGGCTGCTGTGCTCTTCTGGGTACAGGAATAAGTAAAAATAGATAAATACATTTAATACATGGCACTCATGGTAAATATGAGAAAAGAGGGATGGGAAAAATTATTTTTCTTTTTTACCGTTTGATCTTTTGTTCACAAAAATACTCTGCTCTCATGAATATCAAACAATTGCAAACACAACACAGTTTATCCCCCCCCCCCAAAAAAAAAATACATCTTTGTTAATTATATGTGTTGCAGAATTATTGACACTGTTTTAGTCAATACTTTGTGCTACCTCCCTTTTCCAATATAAATATGAAATTTGAAATATGCATGTCAATGGATCTGAGACCATACATCCATTTAGAATCTCTCCAGATTGTTCAAATTTTGAGGTCGACACTGTTGGGCTCTCTTCTTCAGTTCATCCTACAGTTTTTCTCTGAGGTTCTAGTCAGGGGACTGAGAAGGCCATGTTAGTTTCATATGGCTACCACTCTGTGTGCTCTAAACCCGCATTTGATGTTTAGTGCCAAACTGTTCCATTTTGTTTTTTTCTGACCATGCATCAATCCTATCCCATTTGAAATTCTAGTAGTGTCTGGAAAACTGAAGATGCTTGAGTTTGTTTTTGGATAAGAGTAGAGACTTTTTTCTGGAAACTCTTCCAAGCATCTTTTGTGTGGATATAGGTGAGGTCGGATTGTAGTTTTGGAGATCCCAAGAAGAAACTAACTTCTGCAGTTATTATTATTATTATTGGCATTTATATAGTGCCAACAGATTCCGTAGCGCTTTACAATATTATGAGAGAGGGATTTAACTATAAATAGGACAATTACAAATAAACTTACGGGAACAATAGGTTGAAGAGGACCCTGCTCAATTTAGCTTACAGGTATGTGAGATAGAGGTTACTCTGGGATGCCATAAGCTTTCCTAAAGAGATCGGTTTTAAGGCACTTCTTAAAAGATGCAAGACTAGGGAGAGTCTGATGGCGGTAGGCAGTCTATTCCATAGGAAGGGAGCCGCCCGTGAGAAGTCTTGCAAGCGTGAGTTGGCCATACAGGTGTGGACAACGGACAGGAGGTGGTCACGGGCAGAGCGGAGAGACCAAGAAGGGACATACCTATGGATCTGTGAGGAGATATAAGAGGGGCTAGAGTTGTTCAGTGCTTTATAGGTGTGAATTAGTACCTTGAATTGACTCCTATAGTATACAGGAAGCCAATGGTTCTCGAGCTGTGATCCTTGGAGATTTTACTGCCATTTGAACGATTCACTTCATTAAGACAATATAAACACAGTCCCTCTTCCAGGTTGATTCATAACATTTCCAGTTCATTAGAGATTCCTAATTATTGCCCTGATGGCAGAAATATGCATGTTTAATGATTTTGCTATTTTCTTATAGCCACTTCCCATTTTGTGAAGCTCAACAAACTTTTGTCACACATCACAGTTATATTCATTGGTCTTACCCATTGTGATGAATAGCTAAGGGAATTTGGCCTATGTGTTGCTTCCTATTTATACACCTGTGAAACATGAAGTTATGGCTGAACAATTTCCTGATCCTGATCACCCTGGTGTACTAAAAATGTAAAATATTAATGGGGATATACTTCAAATATTTTTTTCTTATATAAATTCATAGAGGTGATAAAAATTGTGCTACACATGTATTTTTTTTATAAAGCTGTGTTGCCTGTGTTGTGTTTGCAATTGTTTGATATCCATAAGAGAGTGTGTTTTATATATATATATATATATATATATATATATATATATATATATATATAAATTACAAAGGATTGAAAGGTTAAACATTAAAGACACTTTTTAACAGGTGTCTTTGCTCAAATTTACCAAGAGTGCCAATATTCGTGGAAAATTATATATAATTTCCAATAATGTATAGAAATTAGTCATCTTTTTCTGATTTCAAATATACACATCTCTTGTAATCTTGCAATATTTATAAATTTCCTATGTAATAATTTCAATATATTTTATTTCATACCAATTCTTTAATTTTTCAACTTAAATATTCCATACTTTATGGGCTGTTGTGAATGCTACCTTTACAATTCATTCATCTCCATAGAGATTAGCAGTTTAAAACAAAATATATTAAACAAATAAAAATTGATTGATTTTCAAATCTAACTAATTTTGCTTGAACCGCAAGTCTAAATGTATTTACCTAAGCGAAGTTAAAATTCTTTCTTAGCACATCTCTAATGTCAGTTATACATATTCTCTGTACACTTAGGTTTCATTCACCTTGAGTAATGAGCATTACAATTTCAAAATAGTTCCAGTTCCAGTAATTTGATTAACATGTTACTGGTAATTACGTAGAGTAAATATAAGGACCTATGCATTGTGCTGGTTTAATTTTAAGCACATAAAAAGAGCTTTAAAGAATGTAGTGCTGTCAATTAATTTTGCCCACAATATTCCTGAAAATCAGATGCTGCATTAGAGAATAAGTATATGCATGGCTGTACCACTCAATAATCTCTACATATTTAATTTAAAAAAAAATATTGTTTGTGTACTCTACATATTTTTCCCAAACAATTATATTCTTTATATTCTTTATATCAGTTTCCTGTTATAAAGGCAGAGATGATATTTGATGGGTTATCCAACCACATTATAAATCTATGGTTATCATATTCCCATTTAGAAGATACTTTGAAACCTATAACACAACTTTGCATTTACTTAAGATTGATTTTGCTGAGTGCACTTTGCATCAAGTCTTTTATTTTAATTTGGAGAAATGGTAATCCTATTATATCTATTTCATGTTCTCTGATTGATTTCTGTTTCTGATATAAAAGCCTTGAATATCCACTATATTGTAGCAGCCATTATAGTAGACATGTCTGCAAAGCAAAAGGGCCATCATGAATTAGAATTTCATATCCATTAAGCCGATACCCCCAACATAAACATGGTATAATATATAACAAAATGCCTCCTTTAACCCCTTAAGGACACATGACATGTGTGACATGTCATGATTCCCTTTTATTCCAGAAGTTTGGTCCTTAAGGGGTTAAAGCATAATGGTTTGTTGCATGCATTTTGGGATTGTTTTCTCTTTCATTAAATTGTTATTTAAATCTAACAGTTTGTTATTTTATATCATTATGACAGTGGGCCCAAGTATAGTCCTCTATTCACTCCTAACAATCCAAAGAAAAGAAAATCAGTGTTTAACAGCTAAACCTTTCAGGGTAACTTATTTATCTCATATCTAAATTTTCTAATTTTACCCATAGGTTCTGGATTGTAAGTTGTGTCTTCAGGACTTAAGAAAGAATGATTGCATTTTATACACTTCTGAGTGCCTACCAAAATAATATGTTCCACCTAAAAATGCTGCTTTAATTTAAAATTTAATATGTAGGCTTTCTTCTATGAACCCACGTCACTTAAAGCACCTGTTACCTGGGGATTTACATTCCATACCTACCAGTTATTTGTTGTTAGAATTATTGCAATAATTTATGATTCTTCATCCTTATGAAAAAATAAGTAATATCCTTCTTTAGAAAAAAAAATGTACCTTCAACATATGGCTACTCCTCTTATATTAATGCATTCACTTTTGTAAAGAAATATATTTTTATGGGAAAACAATTTGTAAAAGTATGATGTAAATTTTCAGTGCAATGTAAACAAAATAAAATTAATAATTGATTTCTAAGTATTATTTCTTTTCCACTTGAATATTATACCTTATGCAAAAGTATTATTCTAAGATCTGCATGAACAAAAATACACCAAAAAATGGTTTATGTATGTGTTTAATATTTAAATGAAAAAATATAAATTCTGAACAGTTGAAATACTAATGAAAATAAACATAAATATATGAATAGTGAAATATGATATTAAAAAAGCTTTTAAAAAATTGGATTTTTTAAAAAAGTCTAAAAAAATAAAATCAGGAATAAAATAAAGGGAGATTTTCTTAAATGTTAACATTATGACATTTGTTTTATTTCCTTTTAATATTCAAGCTACGGTAACTTAGTTCAAGGTAACTGTGCATACTAAATACAAAACATCAATCCTAAAGTTATTCAATGTGCATAGAATATGATTTACCATTGAACTAGATTGGCAGCTGATAAATAGATGTTGTAAATTAACAATTTCAACTATTTCAACAATGGTGAAGAAAATAGGGCTAAGTTAACTTTGTGAGTATTAGGATCTATGTCTGTGAGGTTTGGTCAGATTCTGCATTTGTAACAGGGTTGATGTTCCAGGAGGGATAAGCCAAATGGCAAATGATTTAGGTAAACTAGATAAAATGGTCAGAGTTGTGGCAACTAAGATTTAATGTGGATAAGTGCAAGATAATGCATCTTGGATGTAAAAACCCAAGGGCAGAGTACAGAATATTTGATAGAGTCCTAACCTCAACACATGAGGAAAGGGATTTAGGGGTGATTATTTCTGATGACTTAAAGGTAGGTAGATAATTTAATAGAGCAGCAGGAAATGCTAGCAGAATGCTTGGTTGTATAGGGAGAGGTATTAGCAGTAGAAAGAGGGAAGTGCTCATGCCATTGTACAGAACACTGGTGAGACCTCACTTGTATCTTCAGAAGGATATTGATATTGAGTTTAAGCATGTGTGGGATAGGCATAAGGCTATCCTAGACTTAAGATAAGGCCAGGGACTAATGAAAGTATTTAGAAAATTGGGCAGACTAGATGGGCCGAATGGTTCTTATCTGCCATCACAATTTATGTTTCTATGTTTCTACTTTAGCCAAGGTTTCTTTGAGGAATGAAACATTCAAATTGACACTTGTGTAGCCAATTAAAGTTGGAATTAACTAAGAATATTTACTATAAGAAAGATAAGTGAGACAAGTGACAGAGGTGGATAAAAGGAGAGGGCATCTGGAAAACATTCAAAACTAATTTGGATTTTATCATTGGAGTTGTACTTTAGCCCCTACGGAAAATGAGTTACTTAGTGTAAGTTCCTAAGTTATATAGAAAGACGGATATGCTGACCATATATAAAGTATATATACTGTGTTGTTATATTGAATGTGCTAAAATATAAATATTAAACATTATTAATTTTATGCTGAAACATATCCAAGGAAATATGCATATGAAAGTGAATAACTTGATTTAGCTCTCACAGTACATTTTAGTATTTGAAAAGGTACTTCAGCTGTTCCCATAAAATATCAATCAATATAGAGTGATGGCACACACTGTAATTTGATAATAGAGTTTACCAAAAACCAAACACAAACTTACACTATAATATACACTGAGTTTAAAATTGAAGTTCAAATGTGATCTTTATAAGGATTCTATTAGCATTGCAGTTCTTCGCTTCATTCACAGAAACTGAACCATGTGTTTATCACTCCACTTTCCAAAATGAAAATTTTTCTCTCCTTGTCG